AATGATTTGAAGTTGTAATAGCTGTAGCACGCTGTTCATAGTTCTTGTTTTGGAACGACTATCTGGAGTATATCATTTGTAGATAAATAGGCACTGTTAGAGTGCGAATTTAATAATAAAAGAAGTATATGTGGGACTAAATATACGAGGATATTACGTTTATGTCTCCCAAAGGACCTTCGATTTTCGTTCATAACTTCGCGTTAAAACCTTGAGCGCCCTCTATGAGATACGAGCCATAATCAATATCTCTTTATAAACAACCTACACAAAGGGACTTGTTAAGTTGTCCTTTTGTTGTATGTCACATTTGTATTGCTGAACATATTCAGTAAATGATCGAGAACTGCGAGATAATGTTGCTTAAATTCGAAAAAAGCGTCCTACATGTGATTAATGCATGCATAAAATACTAAATCAATTGTGGGTTTAACGTGATGGGACTCGGGGGCCCAGTTTTTGGCATAGCTTATACCAAAGCAGCAATGTTAGTGAAGGAACCATATGGGAGTATCACGAAATGTCTAGCAAGAGATAACGCTACTATGTCTCTCCGTACTGTACAGTGAGCCCACCTCTACCAATTTGGCAATGTATCTAACAGAAAATCACTAATTTTCTCTCGCCGATTTTATTTTTGCGTACATTTTAAACTCTAATGTAACTAATTTAGCAATTTTTCCTCTCAAGTTTAAGGGTATATTATAAGAAAATATCACCCTAATATTCGTCACATTTCTGTAGGATACCCCACGTAACTGGCGCCAAATGGACTTTTACAGATTTGATTTCTACTTAATTTTGATTATAACTAACGAACATATCAATCTTTGTTAGTGGCAACACTGTAATCCAAGCCCTTGTGCATGACGAAATGGTCACTAAATATAAAGCGTTGTGAGTGTCCCAAATTAAAAAAAATTAAGAGCATAAAAATACTTTATATCCATTTAAAAGGAAAAGTAGGTGAGTTTCCTCATTTTTACCAACTCCTAACCCATCACCTAACCTTTCTCTCTGCGTCCTAAACTTGCCGCCCGGACATAGCACACCGGATAAAAACTTGTTAATACTCATTAACACCCTTAAGTACTAAAGTATTTTGATAACAATTTTCGATCGGAAACGCCGAAACGTTTTCATATTTCACATGTATGTGGTATAATTTCAAGAGATTTGCAGAATTAAGTACTAACAATAAGTCATCTCGTCCATTTTGAACTACTATTCAATGTTTATGATTAAAAATCACGAAATAATAATTCAGAATCTAGCGCAGAAGGTCAACGGCGTTTCCATTGTGATAAATGATACTGTAAAATCAAGTTTGTTGGACAATAATAAATTTTTATTGTACTATATACCAGAAATTTATTACTTACGATTTAAACTTGGTAAGAATTATAAATTAAAAATAAAGACAGCAGCAATATTAACTGCTAACCAGTTTTAAAATAATTGCTCTATAGCTATCACAATTTAGCGATAAACGTGGTTTTTACTACTGCTTTACATAGTTAACTAATTTGTTAGTAAGTAACGGAGAATAAATACTATAGTATTTTCTCACTTATATATTATTTCATGAGACATATGAATCGCTTATTTATGGAAAGCCTCATGTCTTGTTATTCCTTTATCAGATATATTAGTTTAAAATTATTGTTTATTTATGAAAGCCACGTGTCAATGATAACGGGCTTTTCATAAATAAAAGCACTATTGGCCACATTGCACGGTCAGCTGATTGTTGACAGATATTTACTGTTTGGAGATTAATTAACCTCTTGTTGTTTTATGTTATAATTAACTGTTAAAAATTAAATATTTCTCTTCAGTTATTGTTAAAGTGATTTAACTATGTTTTGAAATAATGTCAGAGAGTGAAAGTGTCGTTGAAATAGAAGCAGATAGCAAGTGCGAATATGGGTGTTTTGTTAACATGAAGAATATAATGTTAATCGAATTAAAAAAGCTAGATGTCGTGGTGAAGAATATGATAAATTACTGAGGAAATGTTGTTGAACCACGCAAAAACAGGATTACCATGCTCGTAAGTTACGTTTTATCTTATAATGTACAATTTTAGACAGGAAATAAGATGATAATTAGAAGCCAGTTTTAAAACCTAGCTTAGTTCCACAATATAACCTTTTTCAATGTTGCAAATGCGGATTGAGATGTTTGAGAGATTTGAGAAGTTATGTGAAGAGGACCAAGTTGAAATTGTATGCAGAGAGGTACACTTTTCAAACAAAAATGAGCAAGACCTTTGTTACCAGTCCTTAATAGAAGCAGGGCCCTTACAGAAGAGGAGGTCAAGATTAAAACAAAACACTTCCGAAGATGAAGCTGAAGATGTTTTTTTTAAGCCCAAACATTCTGTTGGCATAAAAGTTCTTTTAAATTCTATGCCTTGCTTCGTGAGAAAAGGATCAACATCTGCAAAAAGGCTTTTTTAAGTCTGCACTGTATTGGTGAAAAAAGGGTAAGAAGACTGTAAGATCTTGTGAAAGGTAAGTCTCCTAGAAATTTAAGAGGCCAACAGAATAATCGGAAGACCCTTCCACAAGATTATACGGATCTTGTAAAAGAACACATTCAGTCATTTCCACTGAAAACAAGTCACTATTCTTCTAAGTAAATAAATATCTAGATGCTAAGCAGGACATAAAAAAAATGTTCAATTTATTTTAAGAGAAATATAACGAAAAGAGGTTAATCTTTGTAATGGGTATATTTATTTAAAAAACCCTTAAAAGGGCCACATCAATAGAACAAACGTTTTCGGACTACACAGTCCATCATCAGGTTATTAAAATCGAAAATGCCTAAAAATAAGTATAAAACCATTTAGTTAAAACAAACGAGATTTTGAAATTTTGACTATGGTTGAAAAGCAAAAGATGTTATACTTACTAGTCATAATGCCTGAGCCACCAAAATATTAAGGTAAAAACCCTTTAAATTACATTTAGTTATGAAATGTTGTACATTTGTGTTATAAATTAACTGTGATGTTATATATTAAATTAAATTTGACCAAAGGTAACACATGGCTCAAATGGGTTCCAGAGCCGGGCGAGAGACAACCTCTGCGCTCGGAGAACAACGTGGAACTGATTGACAAGATACTTTTGGAGGATGAAGATAACAGAATGTCAATGCAACAAAAACTATAAAAGTTTGTACATAGTATTACTACAGCCAAAAGATTCAACAAGTTTTGATGATTTTAAAAATAACAACAATCTAGGTGTTGGGATTATAAAAACTTTTTATTTATTAATTTAGGGTATAAAAGATGTCAAATCAATGATGGTTTTTATAGTCATGATTAATATAATGACCTGTGCCTTAGGCAACTTATGTGCTTTTCGTCGTATGGAATGTGGTCTAAAGTGTATTTAATTTTTGGGTTAGCTTGTATTTGTGAAATTTATCCTTTTATGTTTAACACATCTAGGACAAGGTAAAAATTAAATAACAAATATTTGAAGCTAATATCAGACCTCATGTTTAAATATAACGAGTTAAACGTGAAGTATAGTTTTTACTACGAACTTTTCAAAGAACATTTCAATTATAGATTTGGAAGACCCCAACTTGACACTTATTGTGGAATGTGAACTGCTCAATACTACAATAAAAAATCCTCAGTTAAATGGAACAGCAAAAACGAGTTGCAGTTGCGCAGCTACTTGTGCATAAAAGGCGTAGCAAAAAGTTTTTATTCATTCCTTCTACAGACGAAAGAATACTGTACCGAAACATGTCCCATATCGCTTCCCACGATTCCAGTGCAGGAAATATACTACCTTAGCCAACTGTCCGCCTAACCGTTTGGCATACACAATAGTAATAATGACACTGCAACATTTTATTTATACCACCAGGGAGTTGGAAAGGGAAGTAACGAAGTTTGCTCTTTCTTGGAGAAGTATATTGACGAGAATGTTCCTGCTAATGTAGATGAATTGTACTTATACAGTGACAACTGTAGTATAGGACAAAATAAAAATCATCCGATGATAGGTTTTTAATGCAACTTACAGATAGTGGAATATTCAAAAAAGTTGTCTATAGACTTCCAATAAGGGGTCACTCCTATTTGCCATGTGACAGGGTCTTCGGCCTTGTAAAACGAAACCTAAGGAAACATGTTAGATTCTACGCTTTGAAAGACAACAAATAATAATTTCATCTACAAAACAGAGGAAATTTACTATAGATTTAGTGGAAAATGCAAATGTTTTAAACTTTCAAAGTTGGTGGCCCAAATTTTACAAGAAAAATACTGTTTCAGAAGAAAGTAAAATTGAGAAAAACAAAAAAAGGAAATGTTTACTATTTCTTCCTACCATGAATTTACTTGCGAAAAATTTTAAAAAGGGATGGTTGCTGATCTGATTTTATAGGTGGATTTACTAGCAAAACCTTCAAATTATTATCTAATCCACTCTCTGTTGCTGACCCATCCTCCTCTTCCTCATTAGCAAGAAAAACTCTTGAATAAAAGGTACCAATTCATGAAGAAAAAATTAATGACCTGAAGACACTTTTGCAGTATGTCTCTCACATACAATGTGGTGTAAAACACAAGTGGTTTTACAATGAGCTTGCCCAATGCCTACAGTTGCAACAAAAAATGAACAAAAATGTATAAAATGGCAATTAATTGTAGCTAATTGTATTGTCTTAGAACTGTTTTAATAAAGTAATATTAATTATAAATAAACACGGTGTAAATTCATCCACCAATCAAAAATTTTCACGTAAAATAACACTTTTGTTTATGAAACGCCTTTTTGATTTTAAAAAGTGTAACTAACATGATTTATTTTGAGTTTTAAGGTCCTCAAAATGTTTCGAAAAATCAACAAATATAAAATCGTTTTTTATAAAACTAAAAGTTTTTTCTTGTTTTCCAAAATTTACATTTTCTGAAAAGAGGCCTTTCATAACTAAGCGATTCATGTATTTTTTACTTTTCTCTGCGCATCAAGTGGAAGAGTTGAATTAATTGTTTTTGTATATGTTACAATTTTAGTATCAAATTTTAGATAAAAACTTTTTTTATTTCAACCCAATTTTTAAGCAATATCAACATTCACCTAAAAAAGCCGTCAAACTTCTGCCAGTGTTTACAAATTAAACTATTCGCTATATGTTTCCTGGATACGACACACAATCATTAATTGTATATACACAAAATATACAATTTTTCTTTATAGATATGTATTAAAAATACTTCTTGTACAAACATTAAGTCCAGTGGCACATACAGTATTGTTATTTTCATTTCAATTAATTTAATAAAGCTCTAGATACAAACAGACTGCACTGGTAAGTAAATTATAGAGTCAGTGTCCTCCCAATTTCAACTCCATGTCAAAAATAATACAAGTATGTTATGCAACCTGTTATACAACTGTCATGTAAGGGCTCCAACTACGCCACGAAACATATGATTCGGTTTGTTGGCTCACATTACAGAGTTAATCACTCTATTAATATAGGATGAACTAAATAGTAAACAAAGATGATCTTCTGCGTTATATCCCTTGTATACACCATTCAGACATAGAATTTTTGACATAAAATACGTACAGAAGGTAGGCAGTTACAAAAACAAAATAGTAAATCGCTTACAACCCAGAATTAACAGTAAAAGAGATATTAGTTGGATAAAGCATACAATAGGCTTCAAGAATTACGAACAAAAAGAAAAATTGTTTGTACATATTACAAGTATTGGATTTGTATAAAGGTGATACAGCATTACAGCAGTTGAAAACAGGAACAAAGACTGATGCATTCTTCAAATATTACCAATAGTAAATAACCAACAAGATCATAATTTCCTGGAGACCACTGTATAAATGCTTGCGTTTGGAATGATCTATAGGCAACATTTTATGCAAAAATAATGTAACTTAAAGATTTTCAATCAATCAATCAATCAAACGTACAACGCACAGTATATATAGATGTAATATAATATGAATGTATAATAATTGCTAAACAACTGTCGTTAATTTAACAAAGTAGTTTAATTTATATTATATCAAAGTAGGGTTATAAGTACAAACCTGAGCCTGCTCAGTTGTCATTTAATGAAATACGATGAGAAGATAAGATAAGAAACCTATTCTTAATCGGCTAATGCCAACTCAATTGTCATTTGTAATTGAATTTGTGTTTTACATTTTGTTATACATATTACCTTCTGTCTCAAAATTTTTGGTGTATCTAGTGACTATAAAGTTAATATCCACATAATTACACACCCTTATTGGGAGTAAACCATGCTTTTTACTGGCTGACAACTGAAAGCACGTGAGCATCAAAACGAATCAATCATCAAGCTTTGCTTCAAAAAACTATTCTATGGTTTTTCTGACAAAGTTAAGTTATTTTCTAAAACACTTTGCAATCCATAATATTCCAGTATTATTTAACGTCTTTCAATATTCTTGTTGACCAGAATACCTTTTACGTCACGATAGATGGAACGAGAAATGGTAACAGATGACAGTTATTGCTTGTCAAGGTAGCCAACCTAAACAATGAAGTCATCCCTACTTGGTATACCGTTAAGTTCTTTTAAACGACACTTATTTTGCATTTACTGTACATTATATTGAATATTGAACTCAAATGTAAAACGAAATAAAGGAAATCCTATACTATGTAATAAAATATAGTCTTTTAAGTAAGTTATTTCATTTAAGTACTTTACCTACACAAACTGTGACAATTCTAATATAGTTTAAAAATTAACAGTGGATACAAATATGACTTAGATATATTTACTGATTTACTCTTACATAGATGGAAGACATTTCAAAAATAAAATCTATCGCATCATAAATATTAAATCTTTTGTACATTGATATCTTTCCAAAAATGTCTATGATAATATTTTTTTACAAAAGCCACTGTACAAATATGCATATAAATTGAGAGTTACCGCGAAAACAATAATAGCTATGGAAGCGGTTAAATAAAAAAGATGGAGGCATCACATTCAAATCTTGTGCACAATTTAAACGAACTGAAAAAAACATGAGTAATAAAATAGAGCCCTTTCGAGACAATTATTAACATAAATAAAATGGGGCAAGTAAAAAAATGAAAGCACTTTGTGGCAAGTATATCTTGAAAGACATTCGGCAGATTGATGCAATAAAACAATAAAGTTTGTTCAAACGTGTTATTTTTAAATTATATATAAAGACATGGGAAGATATACCGGAAGATAGTATAAGGCGATTCGAGTTCATTCTTAGCCATATATTCGTGTATGGTAAACTGCTATAAACTTTAAAAGTAGCAAACAACATTTTAAAAATGCTTAGATATATACCAAGTGTCGATTTTTTTAGGTAGACACACAAAGGGAATTTCTAAATGATCTGTCTTGCCAAAGCTCAGATACATTCAAATGGAGTTTATTAAATTTCTTGTCGACGATTTTATATAGGTCAAACCAAGCGAATAATTCAGAAAATAATTTATGAACATTCCACTGAGATCGAAAGATATCCGGATACTTTCAACACGTAAACCTCCCCTGAATTCAGCTTTCACCGTCCAGAATCTTCGCGTCACGTCCCATCCAAACATCACGGTTCCCATTGATGGTCTAAAATTGTCACTTCAGAAATTTTAAAACGAAGATCGAAGAAACATGATGAGAACATCTAATAAAAATATCTAAAATATGGCATAAACAACGTTCAGAGACAATAGAACGAAGATATGATGGAAGGAACACGGGAAACCAACTAGGACAGATGAAAAGAGGCTTGCAATAACAAAAGATCGTTTAGAAACTGTAAAACGAAGATATGGTAAAACCAACAGGGGAGAAACAACTAGTGACATGGAAAGGAGACCAGAAATGACCACCAGAAATTGAGGAAGATTAAAAGCAGACCAGAAATGTACTAATTTCCCGCATAAAAATAATTTCGAGTGAAAACAGTAACAGTTTACGTTCGTATGTACATTTTTCTACAATTCCACTTTTTTAGGTTCTTCTTTAAATCATGTCATGTGGAGGGACGGATCATGTCACGGAACTGGCACTTCTTTAAGTGCCAGTTCCGCGACGAAGGTTGGCAATCATCATGGCTATTCTGACCTTCGAGGCAGCTGCTCTGAACAATTGCCTTGAGCTGTAACCAAACCACTCTCTCAGGTTCTTCAATGTCTGCTTCCTACGTTTCTCTTACCCTCTATTTTTCCTTGAATTAAGAGTCTCAAGATGTTGTATCTTTCGCCTCTCATCACATGTCCGAGATATTGCAATTTCCTTTCTTTTATTGTATTTTCCATTTTCTTTTCTCTGCCTATTCTCCTTAACACTTGTGCATTCGTGACTCTATCTACCCATGGAATCCTTAACAATCTTCGAAATGTCCACATTTCAAACGCGTCAAGTCGATTTATTGTATTCCGGTTTAATGTCCATGATTCAGCTCAAGGTGTCATTTTTTTAGGTTAGGTGAACATATTATGTCTATACACGCTCTTGTTTCACAGATTCCAGACAGAACAACCACCGTAAGAAGTGAAATCTATTAAAAATCCCCTCTGTGTGTGTATACCTATATTAAATGAATCATAAATACTTAGGATAATCGTATAAAAATAATTTTTTGTATGTTGTATTTCAATTTGAATATAATACTGTTAAAAATGCCTAAATAATTCACCTAATAAGCTATATCAACTGTAAACTATACCATATTTAAAAAATTTCAACAGAAAACCTATAAAGAAAACCTCATCTCACCTGTTGGTATCCAAGGTATTCATTTCTAAATGTTTCTTACCCTCGATGTTTTGTGGAGGACTAGTACCAAACTTATTGAACTGGGATAAGTTGTGATCATGTTCCAAAGAACTTGCTCCGTTATCGGAGTAGTTGGTTGGTGTGTTTGAATAACTAATCCCGTTCATTTTCGAAGGGGAGCTAAATATCGATCCATTCAAGTGTTGAGGGCTTCCACTCACACTCATATGATCGTCTAATCCATTTAGCTCAATGTTTACAACGGTGTTGGGGTTTTTAATGGGGGACGTAGGTACAGAATTGCCCCCGTCAAACGGTAAATCAGGAATGTTGATGTTAGAGCTCGCTAAATCATAGTTGGTGTTGTCGCTTATACTTTTGTATGTGTCCGACCGTGTGCTAGTTTGATTTTCGGAGGGCAAACTCGAAAACAAATCATCTTGGCTGAAATATCCGGTCTCGTTGGTGCCGTTCATTTGAAGCTGTAAATGTTTCGGTGAACGAAAGACGAAGTTGTTAGTTAACCTCGCTGGCGTATTCGGCAAACTTCTTTGTTGTATCTTTTGGTTGTCAGAAGCGTCGTACAGTTTGTTAAGTATATGGTTCTTGTCGAATCTATTCTCTTGTTCGATAACGAACTGAGCTGGACAAACGGGCTGTGGTGAACTAGGACTGACGGCGGATTTAAAGTCTGAGGTAAGCACAGGCCATTTACGGTCTGCCTTCAAGTCCCTTTCCACGGCCAGATATTTTGCGCTTCGATTTATCGATATTGTGAAATTTGAACCTCAACCTCTTGAAGAATATTTTTTCGATAATCACATGCTCTGCAAATATACTCAAAACAAAGTTGATGGCAGCATACATCACAAGATATAACCTGAAGTTAAAATCTTGGGGTACCACTAGCTCAAATAAGTGCGCAATAGGTGCGTGAGGTATCAGGGCTAAATACACAGACAATGCGGTCAAAAATATCGTCGAGGCAACAAGGCCGTAGTTGGTGAAAATACTTTTCCTGTACGGGTAACCTTTTGAGAAAACGACAGCTAAAATAATGTACTGGAAACTGGATATTGTATAAATGGTGTAATTCTCGAGACAAGCTACGTTCTCTTCTTCACCACTGAAGGTGGCGTTAAGGGGAACATACCAACTTTCAGACTTTAAGTGCTCGAAAGCCGTTACCTGAAATACAGCCAATAAAAGTATCTGCAAAAATAAACTCACTATAGGGGACACACTAACTAAACTACTCAGTGGCGTCTCTTTTACCAATTTCCCCGGATACGACTCTGTGCGACCAAAGAAAAAGGCAAAAATTGAAATAATAAACAAATCAATGTACAAATATTCAATATCCGTCAAATTAGACTCTATACTGTACAGTATAATTACTGAAATTAGCTGGCACAAAGAATAAGCCGCCATGTACTTGAATATACCGAAACTGGTCACTAAGGCAGCACGTCCCTCTTTAATCACATTAAGTACACAAGTGATGTTCGGGTTTCTAGAAGTAAACGGCGAGGCTACGGAGGACTCTGCTTCTGACAACGATATGCCGGTGTGGGCAGCTCTAAGGGCACCGCAATCGTTAGCGCCGTCACCACACATAGCTGAAAAAAAAAAGAACAAATATAAAAATTTTATAATCATTAATGTACCGGGTGGTCCAATAAGCCGATCTCTCGGCTATATATCAGAAACTATTCACGTTATAAATTTAGGAGAAAAAATTCCTTAGTAAAATTGGCCAAGAGAAATCGCTGGAAAAAACTTTCAAGATTCTGGATTAACCGCTAGGGGGCGTAACCTGCGAAGAAAATTTTGAAAACCAGTTTTTTGGGAAATATGTCCAATTATACCAAGTGTTAAATAAGTAAACTAAAAACAGGCATAAATTCTGCACAAAGTTGTTCAAGTACTTTTTTTTTATTTTTTCAAATAAAGGGTGGGGGAGAGTGGGAAAGTATTTGTGGATAAATACCTATAACTTTTTTTGGATCAACCGATTTTAATGAAATTAGTGTCATTAGAAAGAGTTTGGATGAATTAATTTACATCTACTATAAAATACTTGCATTTAGTTTTCATAGTCGTAAGTAGAGGGGACTTTCAAATAAAAAAAATTAAAATTTGTTTTTCTTCTGTTTAAAAATTAAAATTTTTAATGGAAACACCCATTTATTGTAAATTATAATGGAACTGGAATAAATTCGTAACAAAATGGAGTAAACCACATGTTAATAGCTTTTGTTAAACTCGAGATATGAATAAAAACTCATAAACATAAGTAAGTATAGTATTGACACACCCTGTATTATAAATTACATTAAAAAATAAGTCAGTAGGTATTTTCAAATTTTTTTTATAGCAGAAGAATCTTAATTTTGATACCTATTTTGTAAAAAATAGTTTTTTTCGAAACTAAGTAGACTACGACAATAAATTTGACGGGGAGTTCATATTGTTTATTTATTGACAGCAGTCAAAACATTGTTAAGAAGTGCTATATTATAATTCGAATTAAAGATTGCACTTTTTTCAATAGGTATTAATATTGGTAATATTAGTAATTAATTATCAGTACAAATAATTCGTGATAAGTATATCAAATTGTATGATATGATTGGAGTTTTATTTCGAATGTCACCAAAATGCCGCTATTGCCTCACGTATATATTTTGTAAGATATCCTGATAGGAGACATTATGGCAAAGAAGTATTTGAAAGAAAAGCAAAAAGATTAAGAGAAACTGATAGTTTTTCTCGTCCTTATTTTAAACGACGTAGTAGAGTTATGACCGAAGATAATTCAATCAATGTTCTTGCTTTAATTCAACAGAATCCCCATATAAGTAGTACGAAATCTCTACTTCTTTGCCACAATATCTCCTGGCAGGATATCTTACAGAATATATACGTGAGGCAATAGCGCCATTTTGGTGATATTCGAAATAAACTACAATCATATACAATTTGATATACTCATCACGAATTATTAGTACTGATAATTAATTACTAATATTACCAATATTAATATCCAATGAAAAAAATGCAATTTTCAATTCGAATTATAATACATATAACACTTCTTAACAATATTTTGACTGCTGTCAATAAATAAACAATATGAACTCCCTGTCAAATTCATTGTGGTAGCCTACTTAGTTTCGAAAAAAACAATTTTTAATCATATGAAATAACAATGGTCAAAATAGGTATCAACATTAAGAGTTTTCTACTATAAAATTTTTGAAAGTACCTACTGACTTATTTTTTAATTTATTTTATAATACAGGGTGTGTCAATACTATACTTACTTATGTTTATGCGTTTTTGTTCATATCTCGAGTTCGATAAAAGCTATTAACATGCGGTTTGCGCCATTTTGTTACGAATTTAATCCAGTTCCATTATAATTTACAATAAATAGGTGTTTCCATTAAAAATTTTGAAAAAAAAAACAAATTTTAATTTTTTCTATTCGAAAGTACCCTCTACCTACGACAATTAAAACTAAATGCAATTATTTTATAGTAGATGTAAATTAATTCATCCATACTCTTTCTAATGACACTAATTTTGTCACTAATAAAATCGGTTGATCCAAACCAAAGTTATAGGTATTTATCCACAAATACTTTCCCACTCTCCCCCACCCTTTATTTGAAAAAAATAAAAAAAAAGTACTTGAACAATTTTGTGCAGAATTTATGCCCCTTTCCAGAATTTATTTCCAGCGATTTCTCTTGGCCACTTTTACTAAGGAATTTTTTTTCCTAAAGTTATAACATGAATAGCTTCTGATATATAGCCGAGAGATCGGCTTATTGGACCACCCGGTACATTCAAGTGGTATCTTATTGCAATTTGATTTAAAAAACAAAATTTATATTTTTTACATTAAAGGTCACGTATTATGTAACGTTTTATGTCAAATGTCACGTATTATGTAACGTTTTATGTCAAATGTCATGTATTATGTCATGATGTAAGTCAAAATGTCACGTTTTATATCAAGTGTGACGTTTTATGTCAAACGTCACGTTTTAAGTCACGTGTGAACTCGTCCATTAAAGACAAAAAAATGAGAGTTAATAACAAATACGTTTTTTTCTTTTTCTTGTAGCACTACAATCCGGGGTGGGTCTTGGTTGACTGCACAACTTGCTTCCATCTTGAACGGTAGTCCATAATAGTTGGGTCAGTGGGTAGCCCCATTGTTCTTAGATCTGACCATATATTGTCTCTCCATCGCATTCGTGGACGTCCTAAGGGCCTTCTTCCTGTGGGGGCTTCCTCCCACTTTAACTTGGCAAGGCGCTTATTAGGGAGTTTATGGACATGGCCAGCCCATCTTAGACGTTGGGATTTAATCTCTTGGACTATGTCGCTCGGTCTATACATCTGCTTGACCTCAGCATTTGTTCTCATTCGGTATTGGTGGCTATTAATGTCGCGATAAGGCCCAAAGATTCTTCTGAGGATTTTCCTCTCAAAACATCTAAATTTTCGTTCAGTTTTCTACGGTCAGCGTCCACGTCTCACACCTATACATGAGCACCGGCCTAATCACCGTTTTATATATTCTAATCTTTGATGTTTGTGTTAGGCTTTTAGATTTAATAGTATTGTAGTGTGTACATACATATGTTTGCTGCCTGAATTCTTTCTTTACTCTCTTCCGCGATATCGTTATCTGCAGTGATTGTTGTTTCGAGATATTTAAAATTCTCCACTCTTTCAAAGTTAAATGGATCTATTGTAACATTTTGCCCTATTCTATCTCGTCCCTTTTGTCTGTTGATGCAGACTGAAAGTTCTGCCATTGCATTCCACATCTGATCCCTTTTAATGCTGTCGTACGCTTGCCGAGAATCTATGAAGAGATTATGGATAGTTCTATTGAATTCCCACCCTTTTTCAAGCAGCTGTCTTAGAGTAAAGATCTGATCTATGGTCGATCTATGTTTCCTGAAGCCGTCTAGGTATTCCCCCATGAAATTTTCTACAAACGGAGTTAGCCTACTTAATACGATGTTCGATAAGATTTTATATGCCGTATTAAGTAGGCAAATGCCTCTATAATTAGAGCACTTGGTTTTGTATCCCTTTTTATGGATGGGGATTGTTACACTTTCGTGCCATTTTGTTGGTATTTTCTCTTCGTTCCATATAAGTGTTATTAGTTTGTGTATTTGTCTATGTAGAGTTTCTCCTCCATACTTAAGGAATTCAGCCAGTATATTGTCAGACCCTGGAGCTTTTCCGTTCTTCAATTTGTTAATTGCTTGCAATATTTCTTTATCTATTTTGGGGTCCCCTACAGGTAGTTCCACCCCAAAATATATATTTTCTCCATGTTCTTCCTTTTGATGTATGATTAGTAAAGTCTTGAAATATTCTTGCCATATTTGGATACTTTGTCGCGTTTGGCCACAAATACGTTTGCAAAATAAAAAACAACGAAGCAAGATAAAAAAGACCAGAAATGACAAAATCTACAGGAACAGTAGGACAAAGATATGATAGAAGTAGCGTGTCAAAATCAACAATATAAAATGGAAAACAGACCAAAAATGAAAATATATTGTTCAGAAATATTAGAATGAAGATGTGATCGAAGCAACGAGAAAAACAACGAACCCGGATGTAAAGAGACCAGAAATGAAAAAAAAAAACGTACAGGAAGAGTAGGAAAAAGATATGATGGAAGTACCGTGGCAAAAACAACTAGGGAAGATGGAAAACAGATCAGAAATGAAAAAATATTGTTCAGAAATATTAAAACGAAGATAATATTATTGAGTCAACGAGAAAACAACAAAGCAAGATAAAAAAAGTCATGCTTTGCCAGTACCTTATGATTGTCATTTCAAAAATTCTTCTCCAATATCAAATCGTAAATGCACTAATTATTCTTCTATATACTGTTCTAATTATCAAAATATCCAAGGAATAACTGAATACTGGAAAAACTATTCGTAGTAGATCGATTTTACACAGTAATTTTTGTATTTTTAAAATAGTAAATGGTGTCAAAATAATTAATGTTAAAAAAACTTATAAAAATCTATAATCACTTACCTACGCAGTACCCTAGCCCTTGCAGCTCTTGAACAAGCTGTTGCTTTTGATCGGGTGCCATTCTAGCAAATATCGTACCTGAAAACCGTAATTGTGTTACAAAAGGTTCATTTAGTCAACTAAAAATTATGAAAATAAAAAACCTTTGACACAATTATTATCTCAAAAATTTAAATTGTAGCACTCGCAAACTGGAGTATAGTGTCGAAAGGATATGTAGCAGACTCGTTTGCACCACGACCACTTATCAAAATCTTTTATAGTGATTTTGTACTACATTTTGATTTTTTTTTATATTGTATTGAGTAAACGCCATGCTACTACGTAAAGTCCATTTAATTGTGATATGTGAATAAGAACTGCTTATTATCTCGGAAAGAATGATGTGCTTAATTTCTAAGAAAACTTACCTCTAGTACAAATCCTTGGTATCAACTCCGGATAGTAATCCCTTACGACGCTCCAGACCTTTCCAGTCATGGCGAATCGGTAGTTGTTCAACATAATACTGGGACGTTTAGAGTTGGGATCGGGAACTATTGCACTGTTGGTGATGGTTTGTACTTGGCTCTCCATAGTTTCCAGGCTCATTATGCTAGCCGAATACGACATGAGGCTGTTGTCTGTTGGCAATTTGACTTTATTGCTGGTCAGAGTGTAGACAAGGTTTGGAGGGTAACTGTTGTCGCAATTAACGGTGATGATACTTTGTCCGGGAGTCACGATCTCGCAGTCTTTGGCGACGCTTAGTGCAGTTAAAATATTGTCACCTACACAAGAAAAAAAAATGTAAATGTTACAAAATTATGGTAGATGTTGTATCTAAAGAAAATCCTTTCAGTGATGCACTTTATATCATAAAACACAAGCTTCGCATGTGGTCCTTCGAGCCGGATTTGCTAAACATATTATCTAGTTCTTGTTTAGTATTTTTGAAAGATTTGTAATCTAGAAATTTGAATATCTAGTTCTCCACTGCATGCACATAAAACGTAGTAATTGTCATTTTTAAATTAAAAAAGACATAATTATTTTATATGATCTTGGCTTTACTAAATATGTTATAAATTTATTTAATAATGTTTTTTGGAAGATTTTTAATGTAGAGATTTAAATCATTCGTGTATGTTCCTGCGATAGGCACGTAAAACGTGACAATGAGCATTTTTGCATTAAAATAAAACATAATCGCTTTTATATGATGGATACAAAGGCGGGAAATAAAAACCGAGCATCGCTCACTTGGAAAAGAGTATAGAAATTGAAAAGTTTTGATTGTAGACGAGGACTAAATGCGAAAAATAGCAACTTAGAAAGAGCTGTTTCAACTGGTGCTCTCTAGCGAGAAATATTGGAACCTTGTGCGGCAACCTTGTGGTTAACAATTGCGGCAATGTTAAAATGAAAAGGAGGCTGTATAGAAGCTGAAATAAGCTTTGATCATGTAGTAGTAACAGAGTTGTAACGATGAGTCCAAGCCATCACCGTTAAACCAGCGTGCGCGCGAACCAACCCATGAAGTAGGAGTGTATCGACAGTAGAAAGGGCAAAACTTCGCTATATAAACCGCAACATTTCCTCATAGAGGCAGAATCGACAGGTGTTGACTGAAGGTTCTCTTCTTCCCTACCCCGGCTTGTGGACGTGTTGAGTTCACAAGTTGTTTTCGTTCCATACCGTCGTCACCCGAAGAGCGTGTTGAGCTCTTCATTACCCGTACTCCGAAGCAGTCGTGTTGAGACTGTCGAGGAGTGTCCTATTAACCCGAATCACTTAAGGGACGTGTTGAGTTCCCTTCCTTTCTTTGTAACTATCGTCCGCTGTTATTAAGTCGATACAGCGTTCACGTAAAATTTCAAAAACACACTCGCTTGCCGATAACACTAATTTCATACGACAAGGTCAAACTTAATTTGAATAAATAGGCCAGGTACTGAGAAGACTAAACCAAATTGTAAATATGTACATAAGATTTTTGTCAATTTAATTTAAGGAAGACAATAAAGTTTTATTTTTATTTTGAACTCTGTCTCTGACTGTCCAAAAGCTACCCGGATAGTGACTCCTACGAGATGACGTCACAGAGTAGAAGCTGCATTAGAGAAAGGATGAGGGAGCAAAAGAGTCCTGGTGAAGTATTATTACAGGGATGTTTCACCACGTCCTCGTCACCCCATGAGGACGCCTATAGTCGACATAAAAACCACATTAGTGTTTTTTCTGTAACTTTCTATTTATTTCTTACTCATAATTTAAAAAAATATATGTTGGTAGTGGAAATATCGCGAAGCTTTTTTTAGAAAGGCCCTAATAAAGTTTTGCAACGATAATTTGTGAAAATTTAACGCAAAAAAATATCAAAAATTACCTGTAACCATAATAATCCTAATGTCTGCATCATTTAAATCCTGAATACAGGGAGTGGTCAATGGCTTCAGTCTGTTTTCCAACACTATCAATCCCAATAAGTTAAGGTCTTTTTCGATAGCCTCCCTTTGGACTTTTTGTACCTTCGTATAGCTCAACTTCAACTCCTTATGCGCAATTGCTATAACTCTATAACCTTCTTGGGTATAAGATTCTAATATTTCTTCAAAATTAGGTGGCACTGATTCTTTCTTGGCGAATTTTAAAATCATCTCCGGAGATCCTTTGCAGTAGTATTCGAAGTGGGTACCGTTTAGACGTCGCATAATGACACCCATACGCTGCGCGCTACTGGAAAACGGAAATTCTCGAATTATACCGATCTGAAGGTCCTCGACTATGTTTTCTTGGCCGTTCGAACGATATTGTGGGGGTGTTAATACGGTCGGGAAGATCATATTGAACTTGGTGTTGTCTGCCACTTCTGGCTCTTCCATGGCCCATTTTGTACTTTCAAACATCTGAAATTAATAAATTACAAGAGATACGAAGCAAATCAATATTAACTTTATAGTTTATTCGTCTTCCGGGTTTGGACCGTGTCATTTGTGAGTGACCCAAAAGTGGGTTCATCTCGACGTTTCGCTACAATTATATGTAGCTTCTTCAGGAGAACAAAGAAAAGGAAAAAAAGAAAACAAAAGAACAGGAAGATGGGTAGTTAGCAACGGTAACTCAGTTACTCAACGCAACCAGAGGCGAATACTAACTACCAAGATGGGCATTTGGTCACAGTAACTCAACTACTCAACGCAGCCAGAGGTGAAAACCAAATGCCAGGACAGGGATTCACGTCCAACAGCTCAGAACACTAACGCGTCGAGAGGCGGGGAGTGAATCCGACGATTACTCCGCTACCGCTCTATTTATAGTCGCGGTGCCTGTCGTGTCGGGACGTATCGGCACACTTCGTGGCGCGAACGTCAAGAAGCGCGCGCTGGCCAATCATGTGGCTGCATAGTGGTGGCGGGACCGGACGGTGGCTCTAGACTGAGATTCCAGATGGGAGACAAGTAGTATCCTTCCTCTCGATTGATGTTGTGGGGATTTTTTCGGATCTCTAGAGATTCGCGGATTTTCCTGGAATAAAAGAAGGGGCTCTTAGAAATAATATGGGTTTTTTCGAACAATATGGAATGACCGGTTTCTTGGCAGTGTTCGGCAACTGCAGAATGGGAGAAAAGACCTGATCGAATGCATCTTTGATGCTCTTGAATCCGAGTTTTGACGGAACGACCAGTTTCGCCAATATACACATGTCCACATGAACAAGGAATAGAATAGACACCACAGGAAGATAGGGGCGGTAATGAGTCCTTAGGAGAGGGTAGATATTGAGAGATTTTCTTGGGTGGTCGAAAAGTAGTCCTGATACCTTCTTTGCGAAGAATTTTGCCAATCCTATCAGTGACATTTCGAATATACGGAAGAAAAGCCACAGGAGTATTACCCGAAGATTCTGAATTTGTTGTCCTAGGGTGTAAAGGGGGATTTAGATGTCGGTGTGTAATATTTTGAATTGTGGACTTGGAGTAACCATTGGCGACAAGGGTTTTTTGCAGATGGCCAAGTTCTTCTCTAAGGTTGTCGGGTTCAGAAATCGAAATGGCCCGATGGATGAGAGAGTTGATCACAGAATTCTTTTGGGCAGGATGGTGGTGTGATGAAGCATGTAGGTAACGATTCGTGTGAGTCTTTTTTCTATAAACAGAGTGACCCAATCGGCCATTGGGCTTGGAGGTGACTAACACATCGAGAAAGGGAAGGGACCGATTATTTTCTACTTCCATTGTGAATTTTATACTCGGATGTTGTGAGTTAAGATGATCTAGGAAGGAAGAAAGGGTATGTTGACCATGGGGCCAGATGATAAATGTATCATCAACGTAGCGGAACCAGACTTTTGGTTTTAAGGGGTAAGATTCTAGGGCTAAAGACTCAAAGGCTTCCATGAAAATGTCAGCAATGACAGGGGAAAGGGGAGAACCCATTGGTGTTCCAGATATTTGTTTGTAGAAATTGCCTCTAAAAGAAAAATATGTTGAAAGGAGGCATTTTTCGGCAAGATCTGCCAAAACCAAAGACTTGTTATCATTGGTCAAGTGATCTCGCAGAACAACTAGAGAGTCATGTATGGGGATATTGGTAAATAGGGATGATACATCGAAACTGACGAGAATATCTTGCGGATCGACTGTGAGAGAGGAGATTAAGGTGATGAAATGTGTGGAATTTCGGACATAAGAAGAGGTACGACCAGTATAGGTCTTAAACTGATTGGACAAGTACTTTGCGAGTTTGTAGGTAGGAGAGTTAATCGTAGTCACAATGGGACGAAGAGGTACGTTATCTTTATGGATTTTCGGAAGACCATAAATTCTGGGGCAGATGGAGTTTTTTGGAACTATGGACTTCTTAACATCATCGGAAAGATCGGATTGTTGATGGCATGGGAAATTTCGCGTTCGACTCTAGAGTGGGGTCTCGAGAAATTGTATTATACAGGATGTATCTCTAAGTAAGTCGTTTACTTTCTCTATGTAGGAAGAGTATCCAGGATGACTGTGCATTACCTTTGTCTGCAGGAAGGATTATTATCTCAGAAGAGAACGGAGATTTTTGAGAGCTGTGAATCCTCACGAGATATATTGGAAGTAGGGATTTTGGCTGTATCAAGACATTTAGCGACGTCATAAGCGGATACGGTCGGCTGGAATTTTGGGAATTGTGCGGAGTGCCGCTTCCACATTTGAAATTTTTGGCAGATCTTGCCGAAAAATGCCTCCTTTCAACATATTTTTCTTTTAGAGGCAATTTCTACAAACAAATATCTGGAACACCAATGGGTTCTCCCCTTTCCCCTGTCATTGCTGACATTTTCATGGAAGCCTTTGAGTCTTTAGCCCTAGAATCTTACCCCTTAAAACCAAAAGTCTGGTTCCGCTACGTTGATGATACATTTATCATCTGGCCCCATGGTCAACATACCCTTTCTTCCTTCCTAGATCATCTTAACTCACAACATCCGAGTATAAAATTCACAATGGAAGTAGAAAATAATCGGTCCCTTCCCTTTCTCGATGTGTTAGTCACCTCCAAGCCCAATGGCCGATTGGGTCACTCTGTTTATAGAAAAAAGACTCACACGAATCGTTACCTACATGCTTCATCACACCACCATCCTGCCCAAAAGAATTCTGTGATCAACTCTCTCATCCATCGGGCCATTTCGATTTCTGAACCCGACAACCTTAGAGAAGAACTTGGCCATCTGCAAAAAACCCTTGTCGCCAATGGTTACTCCAAGTCCACAATTCAAAATATTACACACCGACATCTAAATCCCCCTTTACACCCTAGGACAACAAATTCAGAATCTTCGGGTAATACTCCTGTGGCTTTTCTTCCGTATATTCGAAATGTCACTGATAGGATTGGCAAAATTCTTCGCAAAGAAGGTATCAGGACTACTTTTCGACCACCCAAGAAAATCTCTCAATATCTACCCTCTCCTAAGGACTCATTACCGCCCCTATCTTCCTGTGGTGTCTATTCTATTCCTTGTTCATGTGGACATGTGTATATTGGCGAAACTGGTCGTTCCGTCAAAACTCGGATTCAAGAGCATCAAAGATGCATTCGATCAGGTCTTTTCTCCCATTCTGCAGTTGCCGAACACTGCCAAGAAACCGGTCATTCCATATTGTTCGAAAAAACCCATATTATTTCTAAGAGCCCCTTCTTTTATTCCAGGAAAATCCGCGAATCTCTAGAGATCCGAAAAAATCCCCACAACATCAATCGAGAGGAAGGATACTACTTGTCTCCCATCTGGAATCTCAGTCTAGAGCCACCGTCCGGTCCCGCCACACTATGCAGCCACATGATTGGCCAGCGCGCGCTTCTTGACGTTCGCGCCACGAAGTGTGCCGATACGTCCCGACACGACAGGCACCGCGACTATAAATAGAGCGGTAGCGGAGTAATCGTCGGATTCACTCCCCGCCTCTCGACGCGTTAGTGTTCTGAGCTGTTGGACGTGAATCCCTGTCCTGGCATTTGGTTTTCACCTCTGGCTGCGTTGAGTAGTTGAGTTACTGTGACCAAATGCCCATCTTGGTAGTTAGTATTCGCCTCTGGTTGCGTTGAGTAACTGAGTTACCGTTGCTAACTACCCATCTTCCTGTTCTTTTGTTTTCTTTTTTCCTTTTCTTTGTTCTCCTGAAGAAGCTACATATAATTGTAGCGAAACGTCGAGATGAACCCACTTTTGGGTCACTCACAAATGACACGGTCCAAACCCGGAAGACGAATAAACTATAATTCTGACTCTGGCCGTGGAAGCCTACGATTTCATTCAATATTAACTTGATTAACATATTTTCTAATGCATTTTACAACTAACACCTCACGCATTTTTAAGCTTATTTAAATAAAAAATATCTTACCTTTAAGTCAAGTGGATCACCAACGATTTGTTTGTCAATTATGGTCAAGGAATGGCAAGATACTAAACCATATAATAAAGTATTGTATGTAAGCAATTCGACATTCTCAATTTGTGGCTTAAAATCATTATTTTCTATAGGAACTACACACAATAAGTCTAGGCCGTCTTCAGTTAAAGTGCCAGTCTAAAAAATAAAACATTTTAAAGCAAAAATTTATTGTACAAAAAAACATAGAAGGCGTGCCCTAACATTGAAATAACGTCAATTGTTTCACCTGTCATTTGTCACATATCTGCTGTCACAAATATTTACCTTATCAAAGCAGACACAGTCGATAGATCCAGATACATTGATGCTTCTTGGTGATATGCAGAAGATATTATTCTTTTGCAGTCTTCTCTGGGCATAATATCGGCCGACAGTCATAGCTGCAGGTAGAGCTGGTGGAACTGTTATTGTGATTAAGTCAAGTGCTTCGAGAATGAAATCGCGGGGACTAACTCCTCTCAGTGCCTAGAAAAATTGACAAACATTGAGTAAATAAAAAAAATGAACGACTTGGTCATAACATAATGTTGCCAATGATATATCGTTGACCAGTTTGGATTTTGTATGGTGTGTGAGGTATCACTGATCCTCTTCTGAAAATTTACTAGTCTTTTGGTATATGAATTCTATTATATCCGGCTGTAATGAAGGCTAACTTGTTCGTGTTGTGTGGGGATGAAAGTTTCTTCAAGATTAAGTATTTATAACGTACCGGTAGATATAAATTCGATTATCAATACAGCTTTTCTCTGCCAAAACATAGATGTTATCACTTAATCAACAAACAGTATTTGAAAGTTTTCTCTATCAGAGATTTAGCGGGTCACTTCAATCTCTTATCGTTTGTGGTTACCCTATTTAGTAATTCAATTGTTCTGTCAACTTTGAACATTAATGAAAAACCTCACGCTGATCTGATTGCATTGTACTGTCACTAAAACAACTGATTCGTTCGTTCGTGAACAACAACCGAATGTTTTTGAACGTATTGTAGCATTTCCAAGCCTTTTTGATGCTCTTATGCTTAAAATGAGATGAGTTTCTAATAGATGTAGTATTCGCAAGAGCAGTGAATTGGGACCTTTTTTGGAAACAGCTGCCAAGCCAAAAAACCGAGAGTTTTGATACCTTTTTTAATGAAGCAAATAACAAATCAAGTATTATTTCATATAACTATTTACTGATTTTACTGTTAATAATTTTTTTCAGATATATTAGTTTAAAAGAGTGAAATAAACCATAATATACTTGGATCAACAGAAATTTACGAAAAGTGGTAGTGATATATTATATGCCATACTTACTTTGCTGATAATTGTGTATAAAAATCCAACAGCTGCGAGAAGTATTAGGAATGTGACAAATTTATAGGAATCCTTTTCAAAGCGGAAGTCAACCGGAGGAGGGTACAGAATGCTACGTACTAAACTACCTAAAAATATACCTTTGTTTAGAAAAACAACAACTACAATGATTTTTAATTTTTATCCTAAAAAGTTTCACTTGCAGTTCTAAAACTAGAAAACTACAGATGAAAATATTTCTCCCATATATATTAGTCACTATAGGGCGACAACAATTACGCTGTCGCCCTATAACTTAGCGGAAAATATACTGACATCGGTTTTGTTTGGGCAACTTGCGCTTGCGCACTTAATCCCGCGAATAGTAAAATAAAAATCTAGTTACCTTTTGAAGTCGAAAATGCCGTTCTCACAACAATTGCCAACACCTTTTCGTTTCCAAAATATCTCGTTTGGATAACGTGCGTTCCACAAAATAGCGTATGTCTAGCATGTTCTTTCGGATCATACGCAATTTCAGCGATGTTCGGCAAAGAGGTTTTGGTTACAGGAACAGATTCTCCTGAAAAGAAAACAAATAAAATAGATGTGTGCTAATTTAATTTTGGAAATGTACAGTATGTTAAGTGAGATAGTATACATTTTAATATTACATCAAAAGAATTCCTGGATGGAACCTCGTATTAGTAGTAGCGCAAGCTTGGTTCTGTACCCCTTCGGTAATCATGCCATCGACTTCTATGTAGTAAGAGTGTTGGTGTCCTTGGATGTCTTTGGGTAGCTGAAGAAGTACAAAAAGTGACCAACAATGACCAGGGGATCTAAGAAGTGGTCTCTTATCGCTAGATTTCTTATAGCCAAAGGGTGGGTGAGGAAATGCAAGAAATGGTCGACGACAGTAATCAGAAAGTTGAATTAGAGGAAAAGACCACCCTGTATATTGATTGAGTTTATATCTTATTCTTTTCCACAGAAATACACTGGAGGTGTCAAATGACTAAAGGACACTGACTAGAGGGTGGGTCAAGAAGTGCAAAATATGGTCAACATTGATCAGAGGTTCTGGTAGAACCACCTGTATGTTGAGTGTAGAACCCATCGCTTATAGCTTCATACTATCTTTTACTTTTTGATAAAAATATTGGTGAGTCTATAAATTAGTTGTGTACGAAAAAACAAAAGTCGTGCTGAAATACAAACAGAAAGAAGTTATTGATATTCTATAGTATATTTTTCCAATTATAGGCACTCAATTCTCAGAAATATTGGCGACTTTTCAGCGTTATGTCTTATATGCGAGCTTCTGTATTTGCAGCTCTACCTTATTATTAAAGAAATATCTACATATGGCCAGTGTATTTCCCACTGGAGGACATAAGGTTAGCTAGAGAGTCCTTCATACACATGTTTCAGCCTGCATTTGACATCGTGAGAGTGGCATTGACAGTGAATCTTACACTTTGAATCTTTCTAATTTTCAGTTAATTATAAGCTTCTTTTCATTCGTTTTATGGTTGTTATTGTCACACTACGTCATCTAAGAAAAATAGTTTAGAAATAAATACTAATTAACAAAATAGTAGAATGCAGTGAAGAACACGGATTATCACTTAACATAAGCAAAACAAAAATAATGCTAATATCTAAATCACCACAAAACTTCCCTGACATAAACCGTGCATGATCAAAGAATCGAACGTGTAAGAAGATATAATTACCTGGGAACTGTTATCAACGAAAATAATGATTGCTCTGAAGAAATCAGAACCAGAATAGAGAAAGCTAGAGCCACATTTACTAAATTGAAAAAGGTGTTCTGCGGAAGAGATCTAAGTCTAAAACTTAAAATTCGCCGTTTGAGATGTTACGTTATGTCAGTTCTCCTCTACGGGATGGAAACATGGACATTGAAAAAGATCGATACCAAAAAGATAGAAGCATTTGAGTTGTGGATGTATCGTAGAATATTAAGAATACCCTGGACAGAGAAAGTAACAAATGTGGAGGTTTTGCGGAGAGTGCGGAAAGAGAAAGAGCTGATACTTACTGTTAAAAAGCGCAAACTACAATATTTGGGACATGGTTGAAAAACTTGAGAGAATGGTACAATTGCACCAATTACCAAGTGTTTAGATCTGCAGCATCAAAAATACGCATAGCTTTGATGATAGCCAAACTTCGGAACGAAGACGGCACTTGAAGAAGAAGAAGAATACGCCCTATTTTTGACATTTACCTTATTGGAAAAATCCTGAAACTTGCCAGATCTCCGAATAACTTATGTTGTCAAAAGACACTCCTCCTTGGCGTTCAGATAGTTTCTGCTTCATCAAAAACATCACTTTCCGCCTCCTCGCTCATCACATAACTCAAAGAATAAAGTTGTTTTCAGCAATTTTTTTATCGTACACAAAAGGTTCAGTTTAGTTCTCACCGTCTCTCGCTCTCTCTATCTTTCTCTCTCTCTCGCTAACACGTTCCGTATAAGCTGTCAAAGCAAAGCAATCATTAAAATCCTGTACGCCAATTCGACAGGTCGTCACAATGGTTAGACGCCCAACAGAAATTCGTGGATGAACAACCCCTTTTCTTTATGGTCCTTCGAGCCGGATTCCTTTATGGTGCTTCATTGCTGAATTCCTGAATGGTTTTTTTACTCATATACCTATGTGACATTTATTCTCGCAAAACCAGCTTCTGCTACTATCTAATACAAAGAAATTGACAATTGACTAAAAGTTAGGATACAAATGTAGCATGTAGGCAAAGTTGCAATATATAACTTTTACCTACAGAATAGGTTTCGATAATTTGAGCATTCAATATTTTATTAGATATCTTAACCATAGAATTAAAATAGAAGACAACATAAATTATGGCTATAACGATAAGATACTATTCGTGACTTACCTGTCAACATCGACTCATTTAAAATACAATTTCCAGTCAATAAAACTGCATCACAGTGCATAATACAACCATGGGCGGGGATTTCCATTATATCACCAGGCACCAACAATTCCGTCGAAACAGTTTCCGATTCATACTCGCTCTGTTCGATTTCGTCGGGGGATTTCCGTGGAAGACGTCGCAATACCGTACAAACATCACTACTATGTATCGTGGACTTCAAATTTTTTTGATTCTGTATAAAAAATGATAATTGTAAGTACAAATGAACAGTTAAATATTTTTGTGTTTTAAAAGTTTCTCACCTTCCTAGTCTGCAAAGCTGAACTAACGACACCGCCAGTAGTTAGTATCATGATGCAAGCTGCGTAGTAATAGTAATCATCAACCATCCAGAGTATAAAGCTAAGTAGTTGGAAAATATAAAAGGGATTCAGCACCTCTAGCGACACTAAGGTCAGGAAAGATTGCTGTTTGATGTCGATTAAATTTTGGCCATAAACTTTCAACCTAAAAAATATACCATCATAAATGCTTCTGGCTTTATGTATTTGTAAGAAATCATGATTACAGTGCCGGCAAAAAAAGTTATACAAAAGGCTGTATAACTCAAAAAAATCCATTATACGAGATTTGTTAACGAAAAGTTGTTACATAACATAATAAAGTTACAGAGAGCCAAATTCGGTGAATATAGCGGCTGAGACATATAATAGCTCAGAGGACAAAATTGTAGAAAAGACTGAATAGTTTATACATAGTACATACCTCATAAAATGTTCACTCGAAGTTAATCCTTTGTACTTGTGGAACACATCGGTAGGAACGCCTTTGTCTAGGCCAGAGAGTTTTACGAACTCCTGTTTTTCACTGTCCCAAATGTAAATCACTTTCTTGCAAGAAAACATCAACAACCTAAGACGATAAATAAAAATTTTAACGTTTATTTTTACGTATTAACTGTATAAGTAAAGGCATCGTCCACAATTTGTTTCCCTTTAGTGGAAAATATTTATTGCAGCACTAATATTTGTTAATATAACAATGTATGGTTTTTCCTAGACCTTTCTTTGTGTGACGTAGTATAAAAAAAAAACAAAACACGTCTGGTAACTTTTCTACCAAAAGGACAACAAAATTTTAATCGATTGAATTGAAAACTACTACTGTCAGCTTACCTGTCAACATCTCTAAAAATTCCGTTTTCAAAATGTACAGACGAGAGCAGGAATGCTGTCGCTCTCTGGCGACGGCTGGTGTCTTAGTAAATTATCCTTCTGTTTCATTTTTGCGACACTATCGGGTGTAAGAACTTGAAGAGGTCGTACGTGGTACGTTTTGTGGTTTTTATTAAACACTTCCTAGAATACAAAAAAAAAAAAATTAATGAGTGGAATTACTGATAGATAAGTGGTAGCTGTAACTAATTGACAATACACGAGAATGTATTGAAATCTAGATAGCCTAGATCGGTACTTTGTATAAAGAAAACATTGCGGTACCAAGCATATCAAGTGGTTTTACTTTTTGGCGTGATAATTTACACAGTGATATTTCTAATAAGTTACAATATGGTAAAGTCCACCAGCTGGATCTTTGCACAGTATGCAATATTCAAGTATGACAAAAATTATTTGTTATATTACGTCTCTTTCCTACTCACAGAAACTAAAACGATGAACTTAAGCTATCCAGTCCATACACAACAGCATTCAGGGTTTTTATTTTTAGAGTATGCCTAGTAAACCACTGAATTCTCAAGCAAAACAATTTGTGTTAAAAGTTTTGGAGAATTTCGAATGGGAAAAAATGAATGGAGGGCCTTTAGAGTCATTTTCATCTGTTTAACAGGTTAAACAATTTTTTATTTAAGAGAGCAGCAAAGCTCTTCGAACTTGAATCCATCAATCTCCTCAACAGTAGTAAAAATAAAGTCATTAATTAATTCTGAACATCATATTTAACACTAAATACATAGAATGATCAAAATGATGGAGCCCTGGGGTAGATTTTCATTCAGTTTTTGAGATCATACCCCATATATTTGCTTAAATATGATGCTGAACATCATATTTAACACTAAATACATAGAATGATCAAAATGATGGAGCCCTGGGGTAGATTTTCATTCAGTTTTTGAGATTATAGCCCATATATTTGCTGATATGTAATGAAAACACTTTTCTGATTACTACGATAAAACTAAAACAATTACTACGAAAAAAAATCAAAAGTTTATAGCTAATTTTGACGCTTGTTTATAGGTTCCTTCCTTAGTATATTATATCGATGATATACCTAAATTACTGGGGACTGTTTTGAATTTAGTCTGATAGAACTGTTGGATTGTTTGAATAGATTATTAAATACTTTACCAGGTCTAAATAATAAAACAACAACTTCTGATCAAAATTCGCACTTATTATGTATATATAAATAAATATTCATCAATGCAGTTTTGTGATCTATTTGCTGGTGGATTCTTTTGTAATTTGCACACATCCATTAGTAATTAGGCGCCAGATTTAAAGAATACGATGCAGAAGTAATTCAATATGCAATTCAAGTATAGTGTAACCATATACCCAAGAAGTTATTATCACTCAGTGTCGATAAGATAATTACATTAAAATTACTTGTTAATTAGCGTAAGGTAATTTAAATTAATATTCTTTTCTATTTTTTATATATAAACGTAGAAAAATAAGTGAACTAGTGGAAGCCAATTTTATATTATTTTTTCGAAGTGGAGGTTATCGGAGAACATATTGAAAATAAGCAGACAATTTTAATTACCACGATTCCGGATACAAAAACATGTCGGTAAAGTTAGTACAAATATCCATTTTATAAGGCCGAATTCAGACCAAGACGTTATTACTGCTAATTTATTTACAAAGTCTATTTAATTTAGTCTTGTGGCTTTTGGCTTGATTGGTCCGGGATGTGACGATGTGTGTGAGTTAATTGAGGTCTGAGTGATGCACAGGAGTTGGTTTGGCTTGTGCAAGAGCCAATGGGAGGTATGAAAGAAAACAACCATACTGGTAGAACGAGCAGCTTGAAAATCTGAGAACAAACTGCATGATAGTAACATGGGAGTGTAAGAGGTTAAGAAGAGTACAAGCATGAGATTTGGAAGAGAGAATAAATTAATTAAAGCGAATGAAGAATGAATACAGGAATGAGATAAGAAGATCTAAGAAAGAAAGGTGGAGTAACCTGCTTCAGGACCTCGAAAGGGATATCTGGAGGCAAGGCTTCAAGATTGTCTGTACCGAATTGAAGGGGAAACTCCCTACCACCTGCCCGAGGAGGAGAAACTCCGTTTAATACGGGAACTCTATCCTTAGGTGGAGGATAGGCGTGAAAAAAGAGTTATTGGTTTCGTAGATGCGGAACCTTTCACTGAGTTGGAACTGGGCGAGGCTGTTGAACGGATGAAGATCCGAAAAGCACCTGACATAGATGGAGTCATGCCGGAGATAGTAGACTCTAATAATAATAGTCTCCCGTTTTATACCGCAAGCGGCTTTGGGAGTATAGCAGGGTAGTCTGCTATATCTAGGGCCTACGTATACAAGGAAGGTAACATGGCCAGTGCTACGCTTCAACCGCCTATTATTACCCCTGGTTTTACCCAAGGTACTCATTTTATTCAGGCTGAGTCGACCTGGGGCCTATAGACATTTTTTAAAAATGCCTAGTTGTTCTTGCCGGCGGTAGGATTCGAACTCACGACCACCGGCATGCGAGGCAAGCACACTACCGCTTGCGCTACGCGGGCCCATAAAGATAGTAGACTCGCCGCACTAAAATACCCGCAGGTTTTTCTGAGATTGCTAAACAAACTACTAAAACAACAACAGTTTCCAACAATGTTGAAAAAAGCTAAGGTTGTCCTTATCCCGAAAGGCAGAGGTGAAGAGGAAGAGGATTTCGGCCAATTTGCCTTCTTAGTTCGATAGCTAAATTGTACGAATAGCCTAGAAAAGGCCGCCTTGAGCGGCCTCCAATATGGTTTCAGGGCCAAACGGTCCACCATAGATGCGGTCTCAGAAGTAACCTCTTTAGTCACGCAGGATACAAAGAGATGGGTGGCTCTCATCCTGCTTGACGTCAAGAGTGCCTTTAATACGGCATTATACTTTAGCCAGATACTTTACTGACAGGTCCATAAGAGAAAAAGATACCAGCATCAGTTTGTCGCATGATGTTCCGCAGGGTTCAGTACTAGGTCCCATCCTGTGAATGAATGAATAATTGAGATCGAAGATTTCGAGAGGCGAATGAGTTTCGGGCTGGATGAAAGAAACATTGTAAACTTAATGTTGAAAGGAGAGAAAAAAATGGAGAGAAGTACACTGTCTGATTTCTGGGGTGATAAAGAAAAAGGAGCCGGAATACAGAGGAGGAAATTGAGCCAGGGATCTGAAATTTATGATTAATATTATTTATTAGTTTATGGCCTAACGTCTAAAACATTTTCTGATTTACAGTAATAGGTATGGTTATTTATAAATTTTTAGTTTTTTATTTTACTTGTTTATTGAGTGGCAAGACCACCTCTCTGGAACGATGGTTAAGATTATAGCCGGAACACGGTTAATCCGGCACTACTCTAGTATCCTATTCGGCCGAAAGATGCCACGGTGTCTTGTTCCGTGACGTAGATGTCATGGAATTCAATGGATACCTTCTTAGGTTCTTACTGGAATTTGGCAATACGGCAATTAAAACTTCGTGTTATTTACTTCAAATCTTGAAGTCTATGTAGGGCAGCAACCTGATGGTCCTTAGCTGTGAGCAACTCTCCCAATGCGCTGGTCTTGAGATTATGTGAACTCATATATAGATCAGGAAGGAATATTACTACCGATAACTGATTCACAAATATGAATCTTTTAGAGTCGGTTTACGCTAAAAGCTGACGAATTGGTACAATAAGTAAAAACAAAACAGAATTACCACCTGAGATTTTCAACCCCCAAAGTCAAGGTTAATTAACAGTATTTTATTTGGCTTTCGACAAAATGCCACTCTTGTGTCCTACAAACCCAAGAAAAATGAAAACGTCCAACTATTATCTACTCTTCATTATGATAATAAAATAGATGAAATAACAAGTAAACCCGAAATCGTATTGGATTTTAATAATACTAAAGGGGTATTGATACCGTGGACAAGCTTTGTGCTACCTGTAACACTGCAAGAAATACCAGGAGATGGTCAACGGTAGTGTTCTACTCGATGCTAAATATTGCAGGTATTAATGCAAATGTCATTTTTCATTGCAACAATGCTGGTAATGTAACCAGCAGATTTTTTTTACAAAGTTTAGCTAGACAATTAGTTGAGGATCACCTTCGTGCTCGTGATATTCTTTCTTTTTTTGTCATCATCAATGAAATTAGGAATTACAGAAATTGTTGAATCTAAAGATCCACCACTACCGCCTCTAGCTAGAAATATTGGACAACAAAGGGGACGCTGCAGTTACTGCGACAGAAAAAAGAACCGCCCGACTAAGTATTTATGTGTTAAATGTGGAAAATATATATGTGTTTACAGCATTGCACAAATATTTGTAATGAATGTGTATAACATGCAAAATAATGTTTGTAATAGTAGTTAATTTTAGTTTATCAGAAGAATTTTTTAATCCGTCTCATACTTGCTATTTCAATAGCGTGTACTGATGCAACTTTTTGAGGCGCGTGTACTGAAAGGTTAAGTGCTTCGTTAAAACATTTCAGAGTGGCAGATTTTTGTTCGTCACTTTAAAAAAAAAAACAAAGAAAACTGAGTTGTCACCAAGCAACAATTTGAGGACAATAAAAATATAGATAATACACTCATATATTTTGATCCCACATGATTCATAACCGAATGATTCTATCTATAGTTGATTCACGTGTTTCTATTTATTCTATTGTATTAGTTATTTTAGTTGACCATGAAATCCATTTCCAAAATAAAAATTATATCCGGCGCCGAGGATCTTTATTCATAATAATAAATTATTTTCATTGCTTTTAACTTTATTGCATTTGATTATTTTGCGATTAGATAACATTGTGCAAATGTTACAACACTATAATTTTCTTTCCAACAAACTAAAGTACAAAATAGTTGATTTCAAGGAAATCAATACGTTGATAAATAATAATGGTAAAAGTTAAAAAATATAAAGTTGTAGTAAATTCAAATATTTAAAGATTATCCATATAATTTTTAATAAAAGTATTTATGTAATTGCGGGTTTTGTACTTTTTTCATTTTTAAAGATGAGGAGGTAACATGCAAACAGCCTTAAGTTACACAAAAATCAAAGTTGAGTTAGATGTGTCAATGCATTGTTCTGTTGTAACCAAAGTGGTTTATTTTATCTGCATGGATTCATGCAAAAAAATTATTACCCACGGTAAAAATCACGTTTAAAAACCACCTTTACATGCAAAACAACTTATTTCCACTATACTGGTTCATGCTAACCAGCTAATTTCCAACCAACCAATAGGAACTCTGCAACTGGCCACTCAGCTGACCCAATGATACCAAAGAATATAGACATATTCTTTGGTGATACTTACAAATTTGAGGTTACGTGAGGGTTTATTGTCAAAGTCTGAAAAAATTAGTAAATACTTTATTATTTAAAGAATAATCGATAGGGTCGATGGAGCTGTAAGTGTTGGTAAAGGGAATGAAAGGACTAGAAAGAGAAGAGTTACAGGAGGAAAATGGAAAAGTGAACAAATTACCAAGTATGTAGCTCCTAAAAGAGCACTAGCTTTTGTACCGTTTAAGCACAACAATAAACGTTTTAACGTGCGTAAATAGGTCTATTTACATCAGCGCTTTCAAATAAGAGTTTTATAAAGTTTCGTACACGAAAAAAAAGGCAATATAATTGCTTATACAACACAAATCAAAATACATAGACCTAGGTCGGTAAACAAAAATAAAAAGAAAAAATCTGGACCTGAGCGAAAGTACTCAAACATTACTTCTTTTCAACTGTCTTTGGTGCTAAAATTTTCATATATTTAAAGCTTTTTTGCACTGTTATTGTTATTGAAGAACCTGCAATAAAAACATAGCCAAATAAGTACATTTTGGGTTTGCTGTTGAAGGAAAAGAGGAGGTAACTAAGATTATATCTGAGTAGTGCGTTAAGTATTAGCAAACTAAGTAAAATATTAACATAGGTTCAGCTAAGTCACCTGCCTCCGATACTTACAGTACGTGCTGCCTTTTCAAAGATTAAATTAAAAGTGCACCATCACAGTCTGCTGAAAGAGCGCAGCTAATGGTTGAAAAGCGGAATCATTCAAGACGAGCAAAGGCGTTTTATGAGTACATGTAAATGGATGTTTCTCATTCTGTTTACCTTTACTTTGATCTTCAACAAATTCAGCCGCAATCGAAAAGTCCAATTCAAGAAGCTTATTACACGAGACAACTTTGGTTTTATACCTTTTGTATTATTGATCTAAAACTCAAAACAACATGTTCTACACTTGGAAATGAAGCAGGCAGGAAAAGGCATTTGAAAATATCATCGGCTCTCTTTAACTATTTGAAAGAAGCTGCTTTTTTAGAGCTGTTCTCTGATAAGTTGTTTACATGTGTGTTCTCAAAATAAAAATAATATTGTTCTGAGAACACTGATTTATTTTTTGGAAACACACAAAACATCAATCCAAAGGATTTTATTGTATTTTGCTGTACGCGCACATAGTTTTTTACCCGTCTACCGTATTTTTAGAAGAGCAAAAAAGCTGTTGCGTAAAAAAACCATAATTTTAATTTAATAGGAATACATGACATATACACTGGTATAGGTAAGGTAAGCGCACTAGGAGAAGATTGACCACTTCTTCATACTAAGAAGCTAAGTGAATACTATAAAGAGATCCAATCAATTAGTGAACTGAAGAGAATTGAAATATTACCGGACACCAGAAGAAATTGAACACCTTCGAAAAAGGGAAAAGTTCTTACAAAATATTGCGTTGGTAAGAGGATTGAAAAACTACAAGTATGAAAGAAAAGAGTCTTTTATATCTTTGAGAAAGAAAGAGAAAAAGAATCTTAAACAAGTGAGACTGGAAGAACTTCCACTTCCTCATTTGTAAACCAAAGAAAAGACAAAGATGTTCACAAACTTTTGAAAAAAAAAAATGTTTTTTTGACCCACGCCTTGGTTGATACAAGAGTTTCATTTTTGATGAACCCACTACAGCAGCTTTTAGTGAGGAGCACAAAGTAATGAGCGCTGTGACTTCCTATTAAAAAAAAAACTGTTGCATTAACTACCTATTATGACAATGTTTGTCACTTAGGTTAAGGCCCATATTATTATAAAAATAGAAGTTCATTCAGAAAACCATTGTTCTTTTACTTTATTGCTTTGATTTTTAATTAATTTATTTGCATGCAAATCATCTTATGTTCACAACATTTTACATGCAAAACGATTTATTTCCACTGAGTCTTATTGCCAAAACAAAATTAATTTTTTAAACTATTTTTAAGCTACCCTAACTGAAATAAGTGTTTTAATCTCATGTTTGCATACTATTGCATAACATGATTAGAACTTATTATATTTTTTCAGAGCAAAGCTACAAGTTTTTCGCCCTCCCTGAAAAATTACTTACTTGTGACTTAAGCTTGTTTGCATTTTACCTCTTCAGATATAAAATAATTTTATGTAGTTGTTTTTGGTTTGTTTAAACAATTTTTCAAATTATTAATTTCAAAAAAAATACCAAACCTATTTCTGGAAGACGTGACTAAAAAAGATCTGTCTACGGTTTTTTTTATAAAGCACACTTTTTGGAATGAATATTTCTAGATTTTAACCTTGTAGGCTTCCTGTTTTTGATTTATTTTTAATTTGCAGAATCACATGTGGAAAAAGTCCAACGAATTTTACCGATATTGAGTCGAAGTACAAAAATAATCATACGAAAATATCCCTCATACATATTCCTATTTACTTGTATCAAAAAATCTGTTCGCGTTAAAATTTTTGGCAAAAATTAAACTTCTAGTAAAAAAATTGTTAAATCGTATGGGAATTTACTGGAATTGCTATTTATAACCACTTTCTTGTTGAAGATTTATAATATTTTTAGTATTTTTCATTAGTTTCTTAGATTATTGGTATTGATATAAAATATTGAAAATTTCTGTTTTTGTAGCATGTTCATAAATTTTTAGAGCCATTATCAGAGAAATAAAAAAAGAAAGAAACAATTATAAATGAAATAAAGAAAGACAACTTTACAAAAATAACAGATAGTCCATGTTGTGAGACCCCTCCCATAGGAAAAATGTTTCTGACTCCGTCAGTATGAAAACCCCGTCTTAAGGTCGATTCAGACACATCAGTCCCGTCATAGTCTCGGCGCCGAACCGGTCCTGTTTGGTCACAGAACTATCAACTATCTGACAGATGGGAAACTGTTTGTCACTGATGAGTGTGAATGCTGGCAACATATTTGTATTAAAGAATATTTTGTATGACGGGTTGTTCGGTTCGGCGCAATCACTGTGACGAGACGTGACTGATGTGTCTGAATCGACCTTTATACGGAATTAAATACGGCATTGGTAGAATGGATAGCCCAAGTTTTTAACGTCAGATCCATTAGGTTAGGTTAGGTTAGGTGCAAAGCACCTAACCTAACCTAACCTACTGCAAAAGCAAAACAGTTTATGACGCATGGGCTTAGAACTAGATTTTTATGCATCAGCTGTTTATGATGCTACCAAAAATAATTCGGTATATGAATAATTAAACATGAAATCGACTTTACAATTTTTCTTACATTTAATTAAACAGTTATTAATTAATATGTTGGTATACAGTGTGATACTCAAAGAAGTGAAATCGTACTTACAATAATAAGAATCTTCTCGGCATCTTCAATTTTGCATCTGTTGCTAGTAGCCTTCAGATACAGATGCGGTATCCAATGAAACACGAGCCTCAAGATTCCAGCAGTCAGCAAGAAAAATAGGTAGGTCAATGCGGTCTTAATTTTGCATTTCTTGTAGCAGACGAACTGCATTTCGTCGTCTTGGCCTCTATTGAGGTACATTTTGAATTCATCTGACTTCGGACCTGTAACAAATTGAAATTTTTATTAAAATAGTAAAATCAGACATCTTATTTTCACGGGAGAATTAGACAATATTATTCATTACTTTTATTGAAATTTACTACACAGTTTCTTTATTTCTGGCTGCGATATATATAAAAAGATCTGGTATCTATCAAGTTTATTTTAGTAATTATTAAAAAAACTATTAGACGATGTGCGTCAGATTTGAGTGACATCCTATTAAGTAGTCGGAAAAAGTTATGTTTCTGTACGTTAAGTAATTTTTTTACTCATATTTTTGTCAAATGGCCAACATATACAAAAAATGTAAAAACTTCCTTCTGCGAAAGTATTCTGAAGTAGATCAAAGATAAACACCATTTTATTAGCTTAATAATTAGTAACTGGGCCTAATTATTATTATATGTTTACCGATGGTTCAAAAAAGGGAAATAACACTGCTTGCGCAGTATACCAACAGTATTCTGGACAACATCATAAATATAAGTTACCTGATGAATCCTCCATCTACACATCCGAAATGCTGGGTTTAAAGTTTGCTCTTTCTCACGTTTTGACAAAGGAAATGAAGAACTGTGTAATATTTACAGACAGTAAAAGTGCAGTAGAAAGATTATGTGAAACAAATAAATCCAAGCAATTGACTCATCTTGATATAGATATATTAAAATTGTACTACGAGGTTTCAAAGCTCGGAGGAGAAGTTATTATCTCATGGATCAAAGGCCATCTGGGATAAAGGGTAATATAATAGCAGACGCATTGGCAAAAGAAGCATTATCAAGCGGAGAAACCATAGTCAACAATATTCTACCGGTGTCAGATATATATGTATATAGTTTAAAATGGCAAGCCAATTATACGGAATCCGAATTACAGTTATCATTTAAATATTGGCAACCCACACTTCTTAATTCTCTGTTTGCAATGAACGTTCTCTCACAGAGATGCTTAGACATGAACCAAGAAATTTACGCCTGCTTTATTGATTTCGAAAAGGCCTTTGACAAAGTACAACATGAACCACTAAGACAAGTTCTAATAAAGAAAAATATAGACAGCCGAGATATTCGAAATATATGCAATCTATATTGGAATCAAACAGCAAATGTCAAGGTTGAGGGCAGACTAACAGAAGAAATTCAAATCCGTCGAGGAGTCCGGCAGGGATGTATCTTATCACCACTTTTATTTAATCTGTATAGTGAAGCTATCTGTGAACAAGCACTCGAGGAAGAAGATCTTGGTCTGATAATAAATGGTGAGACGATCAACAATATAAGGTATGCTGACGATACAGTTCTCCTAACGGGAACGCTAGTAGAACTACAACATCTCGTTCAAAGTCTCAATATATACTGTAACAGTTACGGTTTGAAAATTAATTTGAAAAAAACTAAATTTATGGTAATCACGAAATCAAAGAACATCAGAGCTAATCTTGTAATAGACAATACAACGATTGAGCGTGTGCCCTGTTATAAATATCTAGGTGCTTGGATCACAGACGATACTGATCAAACAAAAGAGATTAGATGTAGAATAGAAATCGCTAGATCAGTCTTTAATAGAATGCGCAAACTCTTTTGCAATCGTGATATCAATATAAAGTTACGAATACGAATGCTGCAGGTGCTTTCTCATGTCTTTTCTACCCTGTTATATGGAGTTGAGGCTTGGACACTAAAACAGTTGACCATAAAAAACATCGAAGCTTTCGAGATGTGGTGCTATAGGCGCATTCTCAGAATATCATGGATGGACCGCGTCACTAACACGCAAGTACTCCAAACTTTAGACAAAATATGCGAAATTCTAAATGAGATAAAAACTAGAAAGATGGAATACTTGGGGCACATTGTGAGAGGTGAAAAGTACGAACTTTTAAGAAACATCATGCAGGACAAAATTAAGGGCAAAAGAAGTGTGGGAAGAAGAAAAATATCGTGGCTTCGTAATCTACGTGAATGGTTCGGGTGTAGTTCGATTGAACTTTTTAGGCGCGCTGCTAACAAAGTCGCATTGGTCATGATGATTTCCAATCTCCGCTAGGAGTGGCACGAGAAGAAGAAGGCACTTCTTAAAAAAAAGATGGTTTTATTCAGAGTTCAACAGAAGTTTTATTAAAACTATTAATAGGCTAAGGTCAAATCATGCTCTAACACCTTCAAGAATGTACAAAATGGATCTAGCAGACACTCCAAACTGTACTTGTGGTAAATATGGAGATTTAACACATATCCTATTAGAATGTGTAAACCAACAAGGAAATATTACATGTTTTTATGAAAAACTTACGAAAACTAAGTGTCTGTTTCCCATTTCATATAAATGAATTAATTTTCTCTGGAAACTTAGAAATCTTTAATTGTATTTATCAGTTAATAAGAAATTGTAAATATAAACTTGAAACAATATAATGTACTAACCCTAGACTTAAGATAAAATTTGTAAGCAATCTGCGAACATATCAATCATGTAATAAACCATTTAATACGAAAAAATAAAAAAAAAAAAAAAAAAAAAAAAAAAAACAAAAAAAAAACAAATAAATAAAAAACAAATAGGCAAAACCAAATTAATATAAAAAAGACCAAAACAAAATAAAAAATATATATACATATTACATACAATATCAAAAAAGTAATACAATGAAATAAAAAAAATAAAATAAAAAAAAATACTTAATAAAAAAAAAGAATCACAAACAAAACAAGTCAATTATTTTATTTACTTTTAACTTACATTTAGTACTAATTCGAACTCTGATTGTTGTTCTGTGAATACAAATTACAAAACAGTCTGGTCAATTGGCTATGCCAAGGCCATTAGAAAAAAATAATAATTAGTAACTGATTACAACTACAAATCTTTTTATTTGTTCCAAGACAGTTCTTCTATCTTACCATATCAAGACAATCTTACGCTTTTTGTGTGACCAATGTGATATTATACATAAATGTCTTCAAGTAACAAAAAGCTGACTCAAGCAGAAATAGAAGAGTTAGTACGGCGCTATGAAGCAGAAGAAACAGATTTGGAGAAAGCTGATGAAATTCAAAGTGAACTCAGTGATGATAAAAAATCAGAGGATTGTGTTGAAACAGATAGTGTCCAAGATGAGTGTTCTGCATATGAACAAGGTGAATCGGATGATGTTGTCGAACTTAAACGAAAAATTGTATATGGACAGAACGGTTATAAATGGTCTACCAATCTATATTACACTAAAAATACCCGGACGAAAAGGTGATGCCAAGAGGGTAAATGAATTAGCTGCTTGGAAATTATTTTATACAGATAGTTTTGCGCGTACCCTGACCAAAAGCTGATGCCAAGAGGGTAAATGATGAATTAGCTGCTTGGAAATTATTGTACACAGATGAAATTATAAACAAGATTACTCAACATAAAAATAAAAAATCGAAAGGCAATCTCATGTACACAAAGCAATATTTTGTACAAAAAACGTCAAGTTAAGAAATTCACGCTCTCCTGGGTGCAGATTCTCTTCATCAGATTGTGGAACAGAGCATGAAGATCACAAATGAAGGAAATATTTACGACTTCAACGATTTTATCAAGGCTCTAGAAAAGTCAAATGAAAAAAATGAATGTAATTTGTTTAAAAAACGAAGATGTTTTAAATTGGCAATCTGGAGATTCAAAAGCTAAATCAAAAGAAGGATAGATCTTTGCTTTGCGATATATCTGTGGTACAGTTCAGACGTGGCACGATTACTTTTTTTATAAAAATAATATTACCGCCAAAAATTTCAAAGAATATAATTTTCGTCAAGCAAATTTCAAACTAGAAATTCCTAGCAAATTACGCGATAATTTTAGAGGTGTTACTAAGCAAAAGAAATAACAGACGGCATTTTTGGCTTTCATTAAAAGAAGATGACGTAAAAGATTTAATAAATTTCGAATAGTTTTTTCAATATTATGTAATTAATTAAGACATTTTTCTTTTTCTAATGTAAATTACATTTGATTTTTTATTTGATATAAACACACGATATACTACCGCTTTATTCTACATTTTTGCTTAAGAAAATACAACCTATGTCAAAAATTAAGACATATTTTGTAATGTTTTTTACGTTTTTCTGCTGAAAATTAAAGAAATAAATTGTGTGAAAAAAAATGTTACAATTACAAATAACTCAAAACTCTACAGAAAATTCTACAGAGAAAAACAACAGAAAAGAATTTAAATCTATAACAATAGTTTGTAAAGATGAATTATTTCTACAATTTTCACTTTCCCCAGCTATTTATATTCTTACATCTTCATATTGTAGGTTTCTTCTTTTTTACATTATCACAGCAGAATTAATAAAGGTTCGAGAAAATTCTAGAGACAAAAACAACAGAAAAGAATTTAAATCTATAATAATAGTTTGTAAAGATGAAGTATTTCTACAATTTTCACTTTTCCCAGCTATTTATATTCTTACAATCTTCATATTGACAAGGTTTCTTCTTACCATTGTCTCATCTGCTTCATCCCTAAATGATCTTCGAAGTCTTCCTCCCTTTTTTCTTCTATTGTACACCATTCTGTAATTTTGCTTATCCATATAAAAGTGTATTCATTTTACGTTTTTGAGTATACTTAATATGGTCGTTCATGATATTGGAAATATTACTTTTTTATATTATAAACATTTAAACAATATTAACACCTTGGGCAAAAATAAAAAAGGGCATTAAGCAGTGTTTTTATACAAAGCAGAATCACTAGTAATGTTTAGGCAATATCAAGTGATGAATATATACCATATTGTCATAGAGTTAGGGTTAATTATAGATATAATACGTTCTAGAGATCTCTCTACCGTTGATCCTTAACCCCGTTATCTCAAGGGCAAATAAGAAAAGACCAAAAACTACAACTAAGAAACACCAAAGTGGTACAATACCTGTCAGCATTTGAATAATGCCCTTATATCGGTCGTACAAAGTTAGGACCTCACACATTTTGGCACTCAATTCGGATTCACTAATCACTACACAAAAAATGACTGGAGAAAATATCGTTAGTGGCAGTTTGTGTTCGTGTAAGCGTTATCACTGTTTCTCTGATGTTGTAATATTTTATTTTAAGCTGTAAATAATATCAAAATTGGCAATTCGGTTATAATTACGCTGGGATTGTGTGTGTACGGATATTATTTCACAGATGTATCCAGTATTAGAACAATACCCGATGACAGTGGTAAGTTTCCGTTATTTTTATTGTTTTAAAACAACTCGAAAACATATTTTTTTGGGAAATTGTGTCGAACCAAATTCAAGTCAAAACAAAACGCATACTAATAAATACTGTACATACCATTCTCGTCAAAAATTTCAACAAATATACAGTCAAAACTGCATGAAAAGGAATTATGAAAGATTTTTTCATTACAAAATGTGGTTAATCAATAAAATTTCCGTTATAAACAGACTCCATGTCAAACATGGATCGTGTTACCTTATATTCTACTTCTTCCTCTCTAGCAATTCTGTTTAGGAACGGTTTAGACCAGGGGTGTCCAACTTGCAATGCCTCAAGGGCCAAAACTAAAACCTTTGATGTTGTCGCGGGCCATATAATAATTTTGTTACAAGTAATAACAAAATAAAGTGAGTTATAAAAATAATTAAAACAAAAAAGAGTATTATTTCTTTTATTGCTCAACAACTACATTTTTTTATAAACGGAAAATTTATTGATAATACTTTTCAATAATCAAGACAAACATTGCAAAAGCAACGAAAAAGATGTATCCAATTAGTTTGAGGACTGTGGTCGATCGGCTTCATCCACCAATGAAGAAATGTCCACCTCCAGTTCAGTTGTAGACACTCTCATAAGATGACGTAAGGAAGAATCGGTAAGGTTGCTTCTGTTTTTATTTTTTATATATTTCATGGAGGAAAAGGCACTTTCACATGTATATGTGCTTCCGAACATTGACGTCATTTTCAGTCCAAAATCTCGCAGGTTTGGGAATTTCTCCTTTGACAGTAATTTGAAAAATTCAGGTCCCTTTTCTTGTCTGGTGATTAGGAACATGTCTGCTTGAAGATCACATAACTCAAGCTGTAAGTTGGGTGGTTGATCATCAATGGTTGCTCCAAGAGGGTTATTATAAAGTAGTACACTGCTTTTGAGACTTTCAATTTCTTCAAATCTTGTATTGAATTCATCAATAACTTGTTCAATTTGTGAAATGCAGGATGAAAACTCAATATTTTCCTCACCGTTGAATTCTTCTGTTATTTGCAGACTGCTAGGGAAGTGTGTCAGGTTGTTTTTTTCCAAAGCACGTTTAAACACGTTCAGCTTATTCCGGAATCCGTTTATCATTCCGATCAAATCTGAAACCGTCTGGTTTCTTCCTTGAAGACTCAAGTTTAACATGTTAAGATGATTAGTCAGATCTGTTATAAAAGCTAACTGTCTTAAGAATTCTGGATCCTTAAACTTCTCTTCCAGTTCAGTTGTGTCAGATGAAACGTATTTGTTGAGAATGCAGATTTCCTTTTATGCAAAAATCGTTCCATGCACTTTCCTGCACTCAGCCACCTTACATGGTTGTACATTAGCAAGTCTCCATACTCAGCTTCTGTTTCCACTAAAAACTGCTTAAGTTGCCTGTGTAAAAGAGATCGATTTCCACCTCTAATCATATTTATAATCTTAATCACGGTTTGGAAAACTTGATCTTCCTTGACTGATTTTCCACATAAAGCTCCCTGATGTATAATACAACGAATTGTTGGGCAAGTGACACCATTCTCTCGAAGCAGACCCACTAATCCAATTTTTTTACCTGTCATTGATGGGGCCCCGTCTGTTGCTATGGCTGAACATTTATCAAAGCCTCCAATTCTGTCAACTGTTTTCTTCACAGCCTCATAGATGTCTTTTCCTTTTGTTGTTCCATAAAGAGGACAAATATCAAATAACTCCTCTTTACTGGTAAAATCATCAAAAGTAGTGCGCACAAATATTAACAGCTGACTAACATCGGTTTGATCAGTGCTTTCATCCAAACAAAGTGAGAAATATGAACTTTTCTTAACCAGGCTAAGCATAGATTTTTCTACTTGCTCACCCATAGCAACAATCCTTCTTTGTATGGTTTGATGTGAAAGTGGCACTGATTCAAATTTCTCCACCATTTTAGAATCACCGAAAGCTTGGGCCATTTCAACAGCACATTTTTTTATCAAATTGCCATCAGTGAAAGGTTTTTTTGCCTTTGCCAGCTCAAGCGACACGGCACAAGATGCATGCAAAGAATGCGTTTGAGGTGTTCTGTGTTTGTCATTATTTTTGTTTTTTTTCATATTCGTCAGCGAATCTGAGGTGGTTTAACTTGTTGCCATTAACGTTAATGCCATAGGTTGACCAATTTGTAGTTTTGAAGACGTCTTCTAGGGGTAGGTTAAAAAGCTTTGGCGATATTACGTCTCCTTGTTTTACTCCTCTCTTAATGGGGATGGGATTTGGATTTTCGCCTAGTTGTACTATCATAGTTGCATTTTCATATCTATATATTATGTATTAGTTGCCTATATCTCGAGTATATTCTACAATAATAGCTTGTTCTATGGCCCACATCTCGATACTATCAAACGCCTTTTCATAGTCGACGAAGGCAAGAAATACGGGTAGTTGGTATTCATTTGCCTTCTCTATCAATGTTCTCATTGTCAGCAGATGGTCTGATGTACTATATCCTTTGCGAAAGCCAGCCTGTTCAACCGGTTGTTAATTATCCATTTTGTAGGTTAACCGGTTATTAATAATTCTCATAAATAGTTTGTATACTTGACTGAGCAACGATATAGGTCTATAATTCTGTAGATCACATTTGTTCCCTTTTTTGTGTGAGTATTACTAGACCCTCGTTCCAGTATTTAGGGATCTGGCTATTATGGAGATATCTATTAAATAGCTCTGTTAGTACAGGGATTGTTAATGTCTTGCTTGTTTTCAAGAGCTCGGCAATTATACCGTCGTGTCCTGGAGCTTTATTATTTTTTATTTCTTTTAAAGCTCTTTCTATTTCGTATCCCTTTATATTTGGTAGTACTTCTGATCCCACGTTTTTTATTTTTCTTTTGACGTTATTCCATATAATCTTCGTAATTTGTCCATCTATTCTGATTACTTGTTTTTTTTTGAAAAAACAACATGAAGACTGTTTCAATTGTTGACATGTTGACAATTTTTAAAAAACTTTTAATATGAATTTGACCAATAATTTCTTCATTAACCTAATTCAAACTGTATTCCTCGTCTTTATATTATTTTTTAAGATGTTAATAATTATTATAATAATTTACAAGAATTTTTTAATGTATGAATCTATTTTTAGCACTAGAACATTCCCACAGTTATTGGAAGATATGGAATCCGACTGACATGTGGTAAGTTTTCTTCATTATTTCAATAACTTTAAATTGATTTTGATCTACTCTTGTCTAATGAACAAAATAAAAAAATTATATAAGCTAGAAATCAATTCCGTTTAGCATAAAATAACGTATAAAAAAATTAGGGTTCTTTAATTTTTATAGATCCTTAAATAATAATAAAATATCAAATTTCCTAAAAAAATTTAGACTGAAATAATGAATATTTCATTGGTTGAACATGTAAAAATTAACACAGTTATATTTTCTTGATGAATATTTACACGCTGAATATGAATCAGTGGTCAAAAATTGATTCATCGTATTTTAGTCTTTAGAAAACCGTCAAAATTCTTCGAAAAACTATGAAAAATGTGCTACTAGAGCGACATAAGAATTATTATGTTTCTACTAACGCTGCCAAACAATACAACTGGTCAATATAATAAAGAAACGCAAGCTGGAATACTTCGGTCACATTATGAGACATCCTGAAAAATATGATCTTTTACATCTGATCATTCAGGGAAAGATCCAAGGTAATCGTAGTCCTGGTAGACGAACAACATCATGGCTGAAAAATCTAAGGCAATGGTATGGAAAATCAACTACATCGTTATTTAGAGCTGCTGTCAATAAAGTCACGATAGCGAATATGGTAGCTAACATGATATCCAACGATCGATAACGGTCATGGAACTAGAAGAAGAAGACTAACGCTGCACACTTATCCAATACTAGTACAGCTGCAGTTCCGACTTATCTTCAGAAAACTATTGAAGCACTTAAAAAAACTGAGGAACAACTACACCAAGAAGTGCTGCTAGAGTGGCACAAGACACCTCACGCTTTCACGCAAGCATAATGCATACCTCACGTCAGCAAGGCAACAGCATCATTTGGTTTTCAAAAAAACGCTGAATCATTATTAAAAAAATGAAGAACCGCGGAAGTGGCACTTGCTGCATCAAGAAAAGTGTCTCTGTTCTTTCAAAAATACATATTTTCGTTCACTTCACTGTGAATATGTGCGCTTGATGTACACTGAGTACCTGAATCCAATATCTTCAGAAAGTTGTAGATTCAGAATAAAAGTTTTTCAGACCTAGGTCCCATTGACTTTTTTAATCTACGCACTCAGAATTATCATTGACCGTAACTAACTTTTGTTTAATTTGACCAGGGCTAATACCCAAATCTCTCGGACAGAGCCAAATTATTTTTTTGCAATTTTCCAATATCATTGCACAACGATACCTCTTTACCCCGACGAAATATCTGCAACTATTCCACCATAACTAAAACATATCTTTTTCTTCTCCAAACTGGAAAAGTAACGCCTACTCACAATCTGTTAAATAGTAAGCTAATTTTTCCTCTGACTCAGACAATCATCTCAAGCCGACTTCCATCAATGCTGACCTCTAGACAACTCAAAACCAGGATGATCATTGTACGTAATCTGAGAATCAACAATCACAAACCATGGAGGGGATAATTAAAAATCCTAAACAGGATCAATACATCATGTTTTATCCTTATTGTAAATAAAGCTAAATATCTCTAAAGACCTATAGAAGATTGGTCCATCCATCCACCTATCACAAAGAATCTGCGGCTCTAGACCTTGAAATGTGACAAAAAAACTTCTGGTAGTTTGGAAAGGTATTTAGTATCTAGTTACATACATATTCTGCTTTTAATATTTGATTACTCTATTATATGGCCTTCCAGTATCTTATTTTAATATAGTATGATCTTATTTAATTATAAATTTTAATTACTTATTATAGTACCTTCTTTAAAATTCTCACGTTCAAACTGGCTAAAGCATGTGGTTATCAAGTTCTGAGAAACCAATTGCCTTTAATTACCTCGAAAGCGTAAAAACGTCCTTAAAGGATCAACTATGTGAGGAGGTTTATCTAATTTATCGCATCTCTAAATATTGGGATGCGTATACTTCTTCTTCTCTTCTTCTTAAAGTGCCCTGTCGTCAATGGAGGTTGGCTGCTACAATTTTAAACTCTTCTCTATCTGCAGCTGTTCTTATTAGCTGTTCAAAATTTAGCCCTGTCCATTATCGGATGTTTTCTGAGCCACGATAGTCTTTTCCTTCCTAGGCCTCTCTTTCCCTCGATATTTCCTTGCACTATAAGTTGGGCATATTGGTACTTATTATTTCTCAGTATGTGGCCTAGGTATGATGTTTTTTCTAACTTTAACTGTGTTAAAAAGTTCTCTTTCCTTGCCTATTCTATGCAGCACTTCTTCGTTTGAGGTATGCGATGCCCATGAAATTTTGAGTATTCTCCGGTAGATCCACATTTCAGAGGCCTCTAATTTATTTACGGTTGATGTTTTAAGGGTCCACGTTTCAACTGCATATAGAAGAGTCGACCAGACGTAGCATTTTGATAAACGTAGTCGAATTTCGAGTTTTATTCGAGAATCACAAAGCAGTTTTTTTATTATTTCGAAAGATTTTCTGGCCTGTTCTATTCTCGATCTTATTTCTTGATCAGGATTTAGGCTGCTATCGATCCAACATCCCAGGTACTTAAATCTATTGACCTGTTCTAAGATGTGTCCATTTATTGTGCAAGGTTGAGGTACGTTTTGGTTTTTTCGGATTGACATCACTTTGGTTTTTTTAATGTTTATTTTCATACCAAATTGCTCACAGGTCGAGTTGGTCTTGTCGATGAGTCGTTGTAGACCTGAGTCGGAACCCGCAATTAACACTGTATCATCGGCGTATCTGATACTGTTGATATTTTCGCCATTCACCTTGACTCCATCCTTGGAATCCTCCAATGCTTCTTTAAATAGAAACTCGGAGTAAAGATTAAACAGCAGAGGCGACAGAACACATCCTTGTCTAACTCCCCTCCTAATTTCTACTTCTGCGGATGTGGAACCTTCGATGCTAACTCTGGTGTTTTGGTTCCAGTACAAGTTTTTTAAGAATTTGATGTCATTTCCATGTTCTAATAGTAGGTCGTGTCTTATTCTATCAAATGCTTTTTCGAAGTCTATAAAGCATATAAATATATCTTTCTGTTGGTCGTAGCATTTTTGGGCGAGAACTAGTAAACTGAACAGGGCTTCTCTCGTTCCCATGCCGGCTCTGAATCCAAACTGATCGTCTCCGATGATTGTTTCGCACTTTCTATAGATACGATTATGTACGATTTTTAATAGGACTTTTACTGCATGACTCATAAGGCTTATCAGGCGGAACTCATTGCAGTGTTATGGGTTTGGCTTTTTTGGTAGTGGGATGAATATTGACTCCAGCCAATCTTGGGGTATTTTACCTGTATCATAAATGCGATTAAATAAAAGGACCAATAATTCGATATTTTCTTCGCTGATTAATTTGAGCGTTTCTGGGTATTTTTCCCTCTGGACCTGGGCTTTTATTTGTTTTGAGATGATTAATTGCATTTATGATTTCAGAATTGTTGGCCCTTCGTTGTTATTTTCCAATCTTGGTTCTCGTATGTCGTGAAAAAGAATTTTAATATAGTTTTCCCATTCTTTCAGTTTATCTTCCGTTGATTCTAGCAGTTTGTCATCCGTGTTCAGCATGTTGTGAAAAGTAGTTCTCTTGGTAGTCGATGTAAACTCTTTCCTTTTTATGTAAATTAAAAAAATCGTGCCTTTTTTGCAGTTCTTCTATTTCAACGCATTTCTCTTTTGCTTCGGTTATTTTTTTTTTTCGAATTATTCTATTTAGTCTTTTGTATTCTCCGTCCTTGTCATTTTTTCCTTTAGACTCTCTTCGTTTGTTCATTACTTGTAAAATCTCTTCTGTCATCCATTCCTGTTTGTTATTTCTAGGTGTTACTTTTAGATGTTTTTCCGTTACATTGTTCATTTGTTCTTTAATAGTTTTCCACAGAACGTTTATGTCATCGTACTCGCTAATTCTATTGTGGTCGATATTTCCTAAATTTTTGTTTAATTCTTTATTTACTGTCTGATGTATGGTGTCGTTTCTCAATAATTGGATGTCTAATAGTTGGTGTTGAGGTTTTTGTTTCTTTATTAGTTTCCATCTTGCGCGAACTTTTGCAACAACAGGATTATGATCGGAATTGATGTCATTTCCAGGATATGTTTTTGCACTGATGATTGCATTGTGATGCGTATACTATTGTATACAAAAGGCTAGAGTTACAATTTTAAACTCTAATTCGGCATGTTTCTCTAAATCATGGATCACCGAGGTATGAAGATCTGTCTCTATATACAGAGACAAACCGGGCAGTAAGTACTAGTTAACTAAAAGCCGATATGGTTACATCTACGCGCCTACGATGATGCCTCCTCTTCTAGGTGATACCACGATCATTCCTTCACGCCGTCACCGAACTTAGATGTTGCTATCGCCACAATTAATTCACATTTCAACAAAATATAAATGAGTTTTTCCCGAATTGATATCATTTATGAGTTATGCCAAGTATTTTCCCTATTTTACAATTGCATTTATTCTATTCCATTGTTTATTATTTTAATTAATTAATCAGCTAATTTCTTTAACCATTATTATAAGAAAAAATTTTTAAAATCCACTTACTTGTAACTTTCAAAATTAAAAGACTTAGATCCACTGATCAAAGACCTACAAGAATTGGAATATTCGCCAATACTATTAGGAATTATTATATTAAGACATTAATAAATACAAAAAAATGTATTCTCTGTACATAAAATGCCTAGTACATATTTTGTTTTTTAATCTCAGTGGGTTTTGTTTATCCAGAGATTATACGACATAAAAAAATCGTTAAATATTTTTTCTGTTCTCAAATATTTACAGCAAATGACTAACCTGAACTGACTAAACTTGAATTATACCGTTGAAACTCTGAAAGGAAAGTAGGAACGTTTACCCACTAATTTATACATATCTAATGTCTTTCACACAATATTTAATTATATACTTTCAATTTAACACTGTCAATGTAGATAGATCGTTACTTATTATAAAATTATATCATACA